CTCTCTCTCTTATACACATATGAGTTTCTATGGATTTGTTTCTCTAGTCTACCCAGACTGACACATTACTATTTGCAGTATCAAAGTTAGTTTAGGGAAATGTCTTACAGTGAACTAAGGAACACTTAGTGATGGTGATTTAAAAACATCAAGAATCTGGATATGTAAGGGAAAAAAAGTCCATTTTAAATTTCCTTTGCAACTAAACTGACATAGACAGTAAGGCACGGACTTAAAAGTAGGAGCCATGGCGGCTGGAGCGGTGGGTTGAGCGCTGTGTAGGCAGTGCACACGGACACAAGGACTGCAAGGTTGGCAGTGCACACGGACAGCCACACTCCACACGGGAGAGGGATGAGGATGTCTGCTTCCCTGTAGAGATTTATAGCCTTAAAAAAACATATGGAACAGTTCTACCCTGTCCTATAGGGTCTCTATGAGATGGAAATAACTTTGTGACGGTGGTTGGGGTAGTATTATAGTCCTAATAGTGGAAGTAATAAAGACATTCACAAGAGCAACTCAAATAGCATCAGCTAAAATTTCTTATACATCATTTAATACTCAAAAATAACAACACAAACTGCAGCACAATTCACAATTGCAAAGAACTGGAAACAACCTAAATTTCCATCAGTAAATGAGTGGATTAGAAAACTCTGGCACATACACACAATGGAGTACTATGCATCACTGAAAGGCACTGATAAAACACAAAATATTCCTCTGGTTCCTTAAGACTTCCTCCCTCCCCACTATCATGACCCCAGTCCTGCCTTTCACTTCAGGCTAGACCAGAGCACATACACTGGTACAGTTAAGAGCTTACACCACACGGAATCCAGGTCAGATGAGCCCCTCAGGAACAGAAATGGGAGTGGTGATATCAGGAGGGTAGGGAGAAGGTGGGGAAAGGAGGGGAGGAAGTGGTAACCAATGGCAATGATCGACACATAACCCTCCCTGGCCTGGGGGACGAACAACAGAAACCGTGAGGGAAGGGAGACAGTGGTGGGTGTAAGGTAGAAAATAATAATTATTAGTTATCAAGGGGTCACGAGGAGGGGAGGGAGGGGGAAAAAGAGGAGCTGATACCAAGGACTCATGTAGAAAGTCAATGTTTAGAAAATAATGATGGCAATATATGTACAAATATGCTGGATCCAGTTAATGTATGGATTATTATAAGAGCCCCTAATAAAATGATCTTTAATCAAAGAAACAAAAAACAACATTATATCATTATTATCCTGTATTTTCTATTTGAGGAAAATAAGTGAAGTCGTTTGGTCAAGGTCACACTGTAGTAAAACTAAATTATTAGAATTTGAAAATAGGTAGTCTTAACTACTGTGCTCCATTGTCCTGAGCAGTGCACATTATCTTGAAAATCATAAAATCATAAAAGCAAACCTTTCGATATTTCTGCGAAGATCAGAAATCTGTACATCTCCTCTAACCATTAAGGCACAGGCGAGGTAGAGATTATGTTTGGGGTCAGCCCGAATTAGTTGGTGATCTTTGCTAAAAGCATCTGAAAACATCTGATCCAACCTAGGACAATGAAAGAGCCATAGTTATACAGAATAATACGTCTATGAATGACTATAAAGAAAAGAACCATCTATGAATCTATGTCCAACCTCAACTGTCATTTTCTTAAAGAATCTTGATCACAAGCATGAGAAGAAATTATGCAGTATCTACTTTTTAAAAAGAAATGCTTCTGTAATATGTTGTTGATTTCTGTTACAAAATTTTAACTGCAATATAAACGAACTTCTATGTAGTACTCATTTCTAAACTTACTGTATCATTATTTAGTTCAGTATACTTATGTCTTTATAATATCAGAACTACCAAAACTAATTAAAAGCCGGCACCACTAAGATAACTCTGTCTCTGTACAATAGATTACACTGTACATGTGTTAATAATTAGTAGGGCACCACTGAATGACAATGCCAGGCTCCTCTGTAATAGACAAAACTCTGTAGGGTCCCTAAAAAAGGAGACTACTTAAGGTTCTTTTATCCTTCAGTTACAGACAGGAAGATACATGTGACTGAAAAAATCTCTCTATAATACACAGGCTCCTACACCCTTAATCTGACCGAATTCTGGTGCTTAAATCCAGTTTACTCAAAATAAACACACCTAGGTCCCTTTAATAATTCTAGGCAGCTCTGTGAACAGAATCTGCAGAAAGTCTGAAAGAGGGATAGGAACTATGCTGCCTACTCATTCAATAGCTGTTTACTGAATGGATACCATGTGCTAGCTCCTATTCAAAGTGCAATGGACCCAGGACGAATAAAAAGGAGGAATAAAAATGTCCTACTCGAATAGCGCTTATGTTATATCCTGATTATCCCAAGGTAGAAGGGATAGAGGAACATGTGAGCTGGAGAATTCATGAATTCTCTGTTACTGCACTCCAAGCTTTGGCGTGTACGTGCTTTGGGGCATGTTTTAAGGGAGTGGAGGAATTGACGTTTCATCAAAAGGATCACTGTACAAAAAGTAGGCAAACCCATTCTTGATTTTTCTTCTCATCCAATAAATTATAAAAAACAAGGAAGGAGCTATTTATAATTATTAGCATACTTAACTTTGTGTATATTAGAAACAAAATTTCAAGAAATATATACTTTTTTATAGTTATGATTTTTCTTGACCTCTAATTACTAATTTTCTTTTGATAAAGATGGACCGTGGATATAACTGACATTAATATAAACCACATTCAAAAATCACACTCACTGGTTTAGAAACTACTTATAAGAAGTCAGGATTATTTTAGAACTCTGCCCTCAAGTGGCATACTTTTTAATCAAGGATAAATGTGTCTGGGATGATGTAACTGAAACGATAGCTCTCTGAAATAGCTTCAGAATAGCTAAAGCAAAATCAAAATGAATCCAAACACAGCAAGTTCCATGTAGATTTTCACTACCACATTTAATTAAAAACTATAAAATAAATCACAATATGAATTTATAAATTGAAAAAAAAAAAGGCATAAGTCTAATTTTTATCAAAATATACCAAGTAATATCACAAAAAATTCATTTGGCTTTCAACTACTCAGGTTGAAGGAACAAGTCCAAGCATTTTTTCTTCATGTTGAATTTAATTACAATGTCGGTCTTTTTCTCTTTTTAAAGAATCAACTTCAAATATTAAAGTTTCTTAATTACCACTTGTGCAATAAACACTAGAGCCTAAGTTTATATTCTATGTGGCCACATTAAAGGTAAGATTATATATAATATAAAAAGGTCCATTAAATGTACTACATTTCAATATGTTGAGATGTTGACAATGAACATTTAATGAATGATTTCCTGTTCCACTTACAGTGCACGTTGTTTAACGTGCCCAGCAACAGCATATCACTGGGTCATTTCACCTCTTCTTTCGTAGAACAGTCGGAACATGGAGATCCATGATGACCCAATATGTGCAGAGTAGAACTGCACGCCACAGAGTTGTCAAGCATAAGTTCCCAATTGCCAGGGTCTACACCTCTGAGTGCCCTCAAGAGGGTTTGAACCACCAACTTTAGAGTCCCGCGCTTTATCATTTGTGCCACACAGGGGCTCCACGGGGCCATCATGAGTTGAAACTGACTCACCGACAACTAACAACATCTAATGATGAAATCACTTCCAGTTTCCAAGAAATTGGAATAGAGCCACATCGTACCTTCGAGGGGGAACATTAACGTCTGCCAGTGTATATAGAGGTGTTAGGCTTGACACAAGATAATGAAGTTGGGGAAAAGGAACTAAATTCATGCTGATTTCATTGAGGTCCATGTTAAGAGACCCTTCAAACCTTGCAGAGCTGAAAAAAAAAAAAATCAACATCAAAATGAGATTTTCATTTTTAAATGGCATACTTTATAACGATTTATTTGGGAAGCATTTTCACACATCCTTTTGTACATTGTTCTTGAGTGCAGTATATATGTGCTCTTTTTCATTTTTTGGCCGAGGTATTTGAAATATAACCCATGGCTATGCTGTTATCAAATCATTTCCCACTTACAGCGATCCTGCACATAGCAAACAGAGCGGCCCCAAGGGCTTTCCCAGGCTGCAGTCTTTAAAGGGAACGACGGCCAGGATTTTTCTCCATGGAGAAGTTGCTGAGTTCCAGCCACCCACCTTTCTGTTACGAGCAGCCGAGTGTATCAACCATTACACTACCAGGACTCCTGACAGTAACGATAGCCATATTTGTATCTAGATGATCTGAAGTGTGACCGACATACCACTATAGTTGCTAATTAAATCTAAAGACATCTTATTTAACACAGTCCAGATGGACGAAAGCACATGTACCAATACCAGCTGCCATCTGAGTCACTTCTGACTTATGTTGACCCCAGGGTAGAACTCTGCTCCCCGGGGCACTCACGACGATGACCTTGGAAGCAGATCACTAGGCCTGGCTTTCAAGGTGCCTTCGGTGGTTTCAAACTGCCAACCTTTCAGTTAGTGGTTAAACACCTAGTCATTTGTGCACTTAGATACTCCATTACACATATGTAGGTCAAAACGAACTTAATCACCCTGTAAACTTTACTACATTCCTCAAAGGTCTGCTAAATACATTGTGGAACCTTGAATAAAGCATTTCCAAAGTAATCTTGTAGACCAAAGTCTAGGGTATCTTTTAGACTAACTGGCCAGTGAGGGAGCAAAGATGAACAGATTTAAAAGACTGACATTCACAGCAAAAAAATGTTTAATTTTATCTAACCAAATGGTTCTTAAACTTAGCCACTTTAAAATCTTTTATCATCAAATATGTATTCAACATTCTATAGAAGTACTTTGGGAAATACGCCAAGATCTAAAAAGGAAACTTTTAGGAGCAGCTCCTAAAATGTATACTAACTAAAAACTGATAGTTAAAAGCCTAGTGAAATGTGGCACATGCCATCGCTGTGCTTACCTTGTGAGGTTGAGAAGCAAGTTTGCCACGATGTTGTTCATCGCGTCAAAGGGCTTCTGGTGCCGCTTTCTGGAAGCCCCCACACTGGAAGTAACCAGGCTCTTAGGTTTCACGGTTTTCCCCAGTTTTCCGGATTTCACCACGGTGTCAATTTTGCTAATGATGTCAAATAATGACTTTTGAGGGGAAACATGGGAGAGAGCTATTAGGAAGTCTGGCTACAGACGGCATTCTACTAAGCAGGAAAGAACAGAAAGGGAAACAAGATAAACTTACTTTTCCTCTAAAACAGAAGGTTGAACAGTAAAGCGGAGAGAATGCTTCACAGAAGCACACAGACATAGCACTGCGTGAGTGTCAAGTTGCCTGGACACCCCAGTCATTCTTACTTGGTTGTCAATGGGCAACACGCAGTCTGCGTGCTCGTTGAGTTCCTTCATTGCCAAGATGCTGTTATAGGGGGAGGTTATGACATCATCCTCACTGGAAGGATACACTGAAGTCACAAATCGGTATACTTCCGGGAATTCATCCTCAAGCACCTTTAGTAGAAATGTGCCAAGTCCAGATCCTGTCCCTGAGGATACAGATAGCAGAAAGAAAGTAGGGTATGTGATTCACAATACAACTGTGGACACATTTGTTCAGGAATTAAAATTTTTGGATTATTTGTAGAGAAAAGGGTTAAAGTCTTAAATTCCCACTTTACTTCTGATTAATATGACTAACCAAACTTCAGATAAGTGAAGGAAAACAACACATGCCTCACAGAAAACTAAACCAAACCCATTGACAGAATTGATCCCGACTCAGCAGAACAGTGAGACCTGCCCCCCAAGGTTATCAAGTTTGGGAATCTTTAAGGATGCCGGCCCGCCACATCTTTCTCTCGTGATGGGTTAGAATTACTGACCTTGAGCTTAGCAGATGGGCACTGTAACCATGGTGCACCAGGGCACCCTACAACATGGGTGGTGAGGCTTCAAGTCCTGACATGCATCTCTAGCTCTGTGGTTAGGTGGGCTTTCTCTGCTTCACTTCCTTTCACAGTGAAGTTATAATTATATATATGAAAGGCCTTCAAAAAGTGCATGGAAACATGTCATTATCTTTTTTCTTTTGGTCATTATCTTTTAATTCCATTTTTCCACCAGCCTTTTGAAGCCCCCTCCATCTACATGCACATGGAAACACACATACTACCCAAAGTATTGGCTAAAGAGCAAGAGATTCAACTACAATCGTGTACAATTTTAATATGTCAATTTTAAAATAAAGTCATATGCATAAATACATAGATGTATAAACATACACTTATAATAGTTCTATTTTTTATAAATTACAGGCCGGAAAACAAAACTTATGCTTGCAAAACCAATTCCCACTGGTTCCTTAACCCTGTTTGTAGTTAATCAAGTCCTACCTCCTCCCATGGAATGTATTATAAAGAAACACTGCAAGCAATCACACTGCTCTGCTGATTTTCTGAGTTTCTCCAAAATTTTTTCTTGGTACTGACTGCCAAAAACTTTGTGACCAACAGCCCTGAAAGAAGAATAGAGATTTTTAAAAAGTTCTGGCATTTTATTATTTGCTGATTTTATAATTTCTGAGTTACAGTATGAGTTTAGCAGACTAAACATATTCTATTTTATAATTTCAGGTCAGTAAGTTGTATTATAACATCCCGAAAGTTCTAGATTGAAAATGTTAACAAAAATCATGCATCCACAATCCTCAGATATGGAGTCCTGGTGGCAATGTAAGTTAAACACTGGGCTACTACCTGCAAGGTTGGTGGTTCAAACCTACCATCTGCTCTGTAGGAGAAAAGAGAGCTTGGCTGCTCCCATAAAGATTTACAGTCTCTGAAACTATGCAGCAGTTCACATTGTCCTACAGAGTCCCTGTGAGACCGAGTGGACTTGCTGGCAGTTGATATAATGTTCAACTATCTTGTGATCCTGGTGGCATAGTAGTTATGAGTTGGATTGCTAACCTAATGCTAACACCACCACCGCCAGCCGCCAACATATTTAAGGGGCAAACACAGCCCTGAGACTAGCTGTGAATCCTGGGACAAGTCTGGCTTGTACCTGTGTATCAACTTATTAAGTTCACCTCACTGGGGAACTCCCAATGAAGTCAAACACTATAGGTAACTGTTACTGGTTAGTTTTATGCAAGAATCAATTTACAAAGAGGAAACGGGAAAGTTAATTTTTTACCGATTGCTTAAAAAAAATGCAAACAAAAGCAATACAGTAAGAATAAATACACAGGGCACAGGAGCACTGAAAACAACCAGAATTACTGTGAGGCAATAACTTTTAAGAGTTATGTCTGGTAACACACACCTTGCTTTCATGTCAGCAAGACCCTTTTAAAAAAAAAAAGGCCCTTTTCCGGTTTTCTCCTAATGGTTGACATTCAAATTTTATGTTCAGTATATTCTCACCAATTATTCCCTGAGCCAGAAATATCGGTGATGAGCTGCTTGCTATCAAATACATCTCTCAATGGTCCCTGCAGCATTTCATTCACTACGCCTTCTTCCATGTCAATCAAGACAGCCTGAGAAAGAAAGAAAAAAGATAAACAGCAGATTTTCCTTTAGAATGAGCTACTCTGTAAATGAAAGTAACTTGAGGCAGATTTGTTCATTCTTTTGGCAGAATGTGAGGAAATGTGAGCCCCTAAAAGTGAAACGACTTGCCCATAATTGCCCAGCTAATAAGCTGAGATGCAAACCCACGGAACCTACACTTGTGCAATCTACAATCGGGCCCTATTCGCTAACCAAGGGCAACAGTTGAATTAAATACTTGTAAGGTATTAACTACAGTAGTCAAACTACAGGCACATTTAAATTTTGTGAGTTTAATGATTTGTTAATTAGTCATGCTATTGAATGCTGTATGACTAAATTATATGTTAAAATAGACAATAAAATTTTATTTTGCAAATGCATTCAATCCTTTATATACAGAAAGCATTAGATATACATTTTATATTAATTTATTGGCAAATTTTAAGTAGTTTTCAAAAATATTTCTGATAACCTATAATTTTTACCTTAGACTTTAATAGCTATATAACTATATAAGAGGACTTCACTCTATGTGCAAACTGCAGTACTAGAAGTTTTATAAAAGTGAAAAAAAATAAAACCAGCTTATATTGCTTATGAGATGATTTATGGAAGATCAGATAAACATACAAAATAGTAAACCCTCAAATACTTTCAATCTGGCAAAGGGAAGGATAAAAGACGACAGACTAATTCCACAGCTCCTGAAGTGAGAGACATGTCTGCCACTTTCCCAATCACTCAGCATTCAGATCGACAGTAACAACCCTTCTATCCCTTCCTCCATTCACCGGGCCCATGCTCTGCTCTCCCTTTGGGAATTTACTTCAAAAGACCCAACTCACTACCATGGAGTCAATTCTGACAGTGACTCTGTAGGGCAGAGTAGAACTGTCCCTTTGGGCTTTAGAGGCTATACATTTTGACAAGAGTAGAAAGTCACCTTTTTCTTGTAGAACAGGTGGTGGATTTGAAATTGCTAACCTCGTGGTTAGTAGTGTAATGCATCGCCCGTGCCACCACTAGGACTCCTGGAACGTTACCAGGGTGGCTTTAACTCCGTCTGGGGAGTATTTGAGGCTCCTTCTAGAGGCAACCAAGTTCTGAAGTCAAAGCTGTTCCAATTCCTTCCAGCATCAACTTATCAAAACCTTTTGGCCTCTGGTTTTCTCATGCGCATATTGTTATTACGGTCCATCAACTTGGCTCCTACCCACAAAGACTCTGCACAACAGAATGAACTACTGCCCGGTCCTATGCCATCCTCACAATTGTTCCTATTTGTGAGCCCAAATCTGTCGTTGAGGGCCGGCCTTCCCTCTTCACTGACTCTACCAAACACGATAAGGTTTTGGGGTGGACACAAATGCCCCATTAGTGAAAGTCTCTGGCATCCTTTTTTTTTTTTTTTGAGAAGTCAAAATAAAAATTTGTCCTCATGATAGTTATAGTTATTTTAAGAACACACACTATATAACGACTCAAATGTATATCTTACTCGTGCTTTTAAAGAACAAATTCTTCCCTTGGAAATACTGCCACCATCACCAACCGCTCTGAAAGATAGAAAAAGAGAAAAGTTCTTTAAAAAGTTTTAAGATTATTCATGGCTAACAGCGTTATATGATTAACACTGTTATCATAGAGTTAACTTCCAGCTACATAAGCTGGAAGACACATGTAGGCCACGTGAGGCAGGCACAGCATCATTCCCAATCCCCTCACTTGCCAAGACCCAGTAAGGCTGAGAGTGAGGTACTTTCTGCCATCAGGCTCCTTGGTTATTAAGACTGATGATGTAATCCAGTTCTGGCCAATGACGTCAAAAAGAGGTATGCTGACGCAGTTGGTGCCAACATCTCATTTTCCTGCTTTGACTCCTGGAGCCAATTTCTTATAGCTTTGACGTGATAAACTCAAGGAAGAAAAGCCCATAACTACTGGCTTTTCAATTGTTGGAAAGACACTATCTGGATCTTCTAAGCCTATAATATTCTACTTCCAGATTTCTTTGGGAGGTAACTAGGTGTCTTTATCGTTTAAGTCACCACTAATTGTTTTCTTCTGCAGGCAAACATAAATTGACTGGGATACCAGTTATACAAAAAACCCTGGTGGTATAGTGGGTTACACGTTGGGTTGCTAACTACAAAGTCAGCAGTTCAAAACCATCACTCACTCCATGAGGAAAAGACGGCTTCCTGCTCCTAAAGATTGTCTTGGAAACCCAGAGATAGTTCTACTATGCCCTACAGGGTCACTATGAGTCTGAATTGATTCAATGATGAGAATTTTTTTGAAATATAGAAATCTAACCTATATAGCTCACAAGAAGCCAGAATATGTAAAAACAACTTTAAATTGAGCAGATAATGTTTTGAGCAAGGTAATAGCACACTATGGTCCTTGGGTTACTTTTCTTCATAGTTTTATTGGAAACTGTTATGTATGTTTATGTTTTATCTATGACTATGTTCACACTTGTTGAAATGGTCAGGGATTTCATCTTGCTGAGATCCAAAATGGAAGCGGCAATCAAGAGATCTAATGCATTAGGCAAATTTGCTGCACAAGACCTCTTTAAAGTGTTGAAAAGCAAGGATGTTTAACTGAGGATTATTGTCCGCCTGACTCAAGCCATGGTATTTACAATGGCCTCATACGCATATGAAAGTTGGATACCGAATAAAGAAGACCAAAGACAAAATGATGGGTTAAACTATGGTGTTGGCAAAGAATATTCAACGTACCATGGACTGCCAAAGAACAAACAGACCTGTCTAAGAACAAGTACAGCCAGAATGCATCTTAGAGGGAAGGATGTCAAGACTTCATTTCAATTACTTTTGTCACGTTATCAAGACAGACCATTCCCTGGAGAGGGACATCACTTGGTAAAGTGGAGGGGCAGTGCAAAAGAGGAAGGTCCTCAAGATGGTTTGACATAGTAGCTGCAACAATGGGCTCAAACCTAAGAACAATGTGTGGATGGTGCTGTCCGGACAGTATCTCATCTATTGTACATATGGTCACTATGATTTGGAACCAACTAGACGGCACCTAACAAGGATGCTCACACTTGAATGGCAGAGTCAAATAGCTGCAAAGCAGACTTTATGGGCTGCAAGACCTAACATATGTTGTCAACCTATTATAGGTAAATTTCTTCATATTATTAAAAATACATGGAAATATCCTCAGTAAGATACTGAAGTATACATTATATGATCTCATATTTGAAAAAGAATTTTCTTACTAATCTCTGGAAAAGCTGCAGTAGGTGCTGTCAACACATAAGTAGAGTAGCAAGCTGCACACTCCTTCTCCTGGCCCATTCAAACTCGGTATTGGCGAACTACAAACACAGACGAGTTTGTAAAATCACCGTATACAGTGAAAACTGCTTGCAGTTAGTCTTGACTAAGTTATTCAATGAAGGGTTGGTGGCCACCCAGAAAGGTAGGGTTGAGGCAAGGATTTGGTATGCAAGGAAATGATGTAAAAACATTGAAAAGCAAATTTTAGTAGCATGTCTCTTAATTTTTAGGAAAAAATGTTCTGGTTCACAATCATGAAGGAATCTCTACTCTTTGGTATCTCAAATAATATAGAGGTTATCACTCATTAAGGAAATCCTACACCTGATTCACCTTGATATAAATCCAAGGTCACTCCACAATTTTCTGATAGTCTTTTTCAGTCACTTTTTCTGTCAATTCATACATTAACTTTTCTGCTTTTTAATCTCTCATCTCTGACTCTGGTTAATCTGACCGTACTGAAGCGCAATGCACCCATTGTCAAGGTGCCAATAATAATTTCTGGGTTCACAATCTGAGGGTTAGACTTTAGAATTCACCAGAAGTAGAATGAATTGGTCTTTTCCAGAAAATAAATGCCTCAAAGATACAAATGAAAACTGAAAATTTCATTGGATTGAACATGATTATGCATTTTTCATAGTGGCCCCCCTGTGGGTTTCCAAGACTGTAACTATTTATGGGAATAGAAAGCCCAGTCTTTCCCCCTTGGAGCAGCTGGTGGTTTCGAACTGCCGACTATGCAGATCGAGCTCAACGCATAACCACTACGCCACCAGGCTCAATTATGTATTTTTTATTTAAAGCCTACCATCATTTAGTTTCATAAAGAACAAGAAAAACACAACATCCCCTGATCAAATGTTAGCAAAGCAAGTGTTTAAACAGAATCCCAGCATTACTGAGCACCTTATTTCTAAGTGGAAAAGAGCAGGCTGTCTTTATGCTTTGCAAGGCGATATGAGCATACGCACAATAGTGTTATTTCCTCCTCCCCAGTTAATGGAACTATCGCTGCCTGAAAAGGAATGACATTTCATTATTTTGCCTTTCCCTCCTCTTTCAATGACTGTAGTTGATGAACTACTGTGTCATCAGAATTTCCTATTATAGTACACAACATAGTGAGTAAAACCAGAAATTAATATTGTTTCAAAGAATTGTTTTGACTTTAGCAAGGTTGGAAGGTGAACAGGTTAAAAACACCTCACTATTATTTAAAAATCTAACAATCTACTATAATTTTATTCTCTTCCCTTAAGGATTTAATATTAAAAACTAGACAAAGCAAATGTTAAATGACTGTTTCAGATAAAAAGTATATGATACGTATATGCAAGGACTTCAAGAAGCTTGTGGGAAAACGGAATCAAAAGGTAATGAAAATGTTCCATGAACTTTATGAAGCTGCCTTGAATATGCTATTAAGTAAGCCAATATAATAACTGCTTTTTTAGCACATTCTAATCATTCATTAAGTATTCCAGGTCATAAGTAAGATCAGAGAAAAGTATACAATAAATTTTTCTCTCACAAGTTAACCATGAACAGATGCCCTAACAAGATGTCCTCAGAGAAAATCGCAATCTTCATTTCAGAGTGAAGTTAAAATAAATCATGCTGATGGTTTTGCTTTCTAACATGACTTCAACAGAAAAAACGGTGCCCAGTTCTACAGACCATGCTTCCAGTGATGAGAAAACCAAAGCAAACAGAAAGGCAGACACGTTCTTCACAGTTATCAACTGTTTTTATTGCACTTCACGTTTGCAGACTGCTCTCCCAGTCTGTTGACAGGAAAAGGTTCAGCATGCTCTGATAGACTTTAATGGCTTCTTACCTGGTGTCCACATTTCTAAAGAAGCTGCTTATTGCCTCATCATAAATTCCTCTCTACAAAGAGAAAAACATCTATTTATGACATTGTATAGTTTTAATAATTGCACAAGGTACATAACATCACACCTGTCATTAACACTGCACTTGTAATGAATGGCTTTGTTGAGAGCCTGGGTGGTGTAAGTGGTTTGCATTCAGCTGCTAACCTAAAAGGATGGCAGTTGGAACCCACCCAGGGGTGGCTCCCTGCAAGGCCTGGAATGTGTGTCCTCCAAGAGTATGGCCAAGAAAACCCTGTAGGGCAGTTCTCTGTAACACAGGGCATTGCCAAGAGTTGGAACCTACTGGACAGTCATGGCACCCCCCTCACCTCACCCCACCTTAGTGGCTTTACTGTTGTGGTTAGTTGTCATGTAGCTGGCAGGATTCATGGCAAACCCTGTGTACAACGGGGACAAGGCCATTATGACTCATAGGTGTTTTCATTGGCTGATTTTGGGAAGATCGGCAGGCCTTTCTTTCTAGTGTCTTACCGAGGAAGCTCTGCCCACACCTGTTCAACATCAGAGCAACACTCAAGCATCCAATGACAGATGGATAGTGGCTACTGATGAGGTGCAAGGGCTGGCCCTGAACTCAAGTCTTCTGCATGAAGATGTACACCAGTGGTTCTCAACCTTCCTAATGCCGAGACCCTTTAATAGTTCCTCATGTGGTGGTGACCCCCCAACCATAAAATTATTTTCGTTGCTACTTCATCATTGTCATTTTGCTACTGTTATGAATCGGGAGACCCCTGTGAAAGGGTCTTTCGACCCCCAGGATGAGAACCGCTGATGCACATCAATGAGCCACCTAGGCTTTGAAAAAGCATGTCAGGATTCTTCCAATCCCCTCGCAGGAGAATCCATGCTGCAAGGCAGCAGGGGTGATGGACGATTCCCCATAGGGCAGCAGAGCAGGCGCATCAAATGAGCTTCCTCTAAATTCTTGGTGACCATTTTAAGAACTGAGGTATACAAAGCCACGACATGTGTTACCTATTGTAAAATGCACTTTCACATATAGTAGTACTACCTCGGTGATCTTCACAAGAACATGGATAAATGCGAGGGGCCTCGAGAATTGGAAAAAACGATCTGGGAACTCTGGTGGCGTCGTGGTTACGCACCGGCCCATTATTTGAAGCCCCCATCGGCTTTGGGGAGAAGGGCCAGGCTTTCGACTCCCATTGAAAGTGTGCCTCGGGACCCAGTGGGGCAGATCCACCCCGTGGTCTCGGTCAGTGTCTAACGTCAATCTACGTCGAAGCACCGGTATCTCCTTGACAGTGACTGTTTCATACAACGGAGAGCGGTCAGATCGAAGCGGAACTCGCGCTCTGACTTATCGGGAGCAGGGACTTCGATGACCGGCGGCGGGGAGGCTCCGGGCGCCGGTACCTGGTTGACCGCGGCGTGCTCCCTCAGCGCCAGGTCCCAGAAGCAGCAGCCGATCTGGTTTCCGCACTGTCCCACTGCTCCCCGGAGGGGAGGAAGGAAAACGGACATTAGAGTGCGGGAAACGGGGGCTCTCGGCCAGGTCCCCGCCGCGGGGCGCTACTTACCCTGCACGACCACCGACTGGGTCATGCCGAGGAGCAGGCCGTCCGAGTCAGCCCGCAGCCCGCGCCGGCGTGGGCATTCGCCGCGCCCGCCCACTTCGTTCTCCGAGCCACGGGGCGGCCGTAAGTCACGCCGCTGCCGCAAGGCGCGGCCGTCGCCAAGCGCGCCTGGGGCTCAAGCTGAGACTTTACTTCAGAAGGCCCGCGCAGGCGCGCTCGCGTCTCCCGTTACCATAGCGACTGGGCTCAGGACCGCAAATCCTCGCTGCCTGGTAAACACCTTCGAGTAACCGCAGCTCGGGAGGCCCCGGTAACTGGCAGGGTATCTGGAGGCTCTGGAGTTTAAACTATGGCTCGTTAAAACTCTCCATGAGCGTTTATCAGAAGTTTAGTGCTCGTGTATAGTCTCACCCTAGCGGTAGGTCAAATTCCGTTTGTTCTGAGTCCACGGGATGTGGCGTTGACATCTTTTACCAGCGAGCCCTTGGTTCTAATAGAGAAGGAGCAAGGTTGCCGCGAACAAAGAAACGCTAGACAAATGGACGTGGTGGGGCACCCCGAAACGGTAGCGAGACCCAAAATGAGCAAAGCGAAGACACCCAACTAGTATTTGGTGAACGTCGTGTGCGCCCAGAATATAACTAATAGGCTATCGAGGATGAAAAAGAAATCAAGTCATCGATCGCTCCAGCTCCAACAAGCTCAAAATCTAACAGAAGACACACAAGAAACTCAGGATGTTGATTTACAGTGTCGGTGTGGCTCTTATAAGTGCAATTGGAATCAGTGGGTGAGATTGTAGACGGGGGAGAAGGCTAATGAAAGAGATAGGGTTAAATTAGGTATTTGATTTATGCAGTGTTCATGGGAGAGCAAATGATTGAAAAAGCACTCATTACGGAAAGTTAGCAAATTCTTAAAATTTTTCAAACACTGGAAAGCAAATGATCAAATTACATCAGATTTCAAGTAAGAAACAAACAACAACAAAATACCTCACTGCCATGAAGTGGTTATGGTTAGCGGTTGGAAACCACCTGCTGCTCCTGGGGAGAAAGAGGAGGCTTTCTAGTAGAGTGCCAGTCTCGGAAACCCACAGGGGCGGTTCCACCCTGTCCTGCAGGGTTGCTGTGAGTTGGATTTGACCCGATGGCGGTGAGTGTGATTGAGTTTGCCGTCGAGTCGATTCTGACTCATAGCAACACTGTAGGCCGGTAGAACTGCCCTGTGGGTTTCTTTGGCTTCTCACATTTAGCAGATGGTAGTTTCACCCACAGTAACCACTATACCACCAGGACTCTTGATTGAAAGCATTCCTTGAATGCAATATTTTCCACAAACATTTTGAGGAATTAGAAATTGTAAGAAGTCTTCTCCAATAAAAAGTTAAATTATATGTATTTTTAATGCTTATCAGTACGAACTGATGATTGACTAGCATGCCTTATTCCCCTACTAAGAGAAATGTTTGTTGTCACATTTCTCTGATAGGTGGTAATTTGAAATTGCAGTGGCTTGTTGATGATGCGATGGCCACCGCACATTTCCATTTAGATGTTTTTATCTTAGTCCTTATCTATCTTGGGATTAATAATTTGTTCTTGTTAGAGGTTGTTGGGTTGGTTCTGACACATAGCAACTCTATGTACAGTAGGTCCAAACACTGCCCCATCCTGTCCCATCTGCACAATTGTCGCTCTGTTTGAGTCCAGTGTTGGAAATACTGAGTTAGTCCATCCCACGGAGGAGCTTTCTCTTTTTCTTTCACCTTTCACTTTACCAAGCATGGTGCCCTTTTCTAGGGACTGGCCCTCCTAATAACATAGCTTAAAGGATGAGGGACAAAGTCACTAGTAACAAAAAACATCCTGCAATTGCAAACAGCATCTTAGCTGCTTTTTGAGCAAGAAGTTAGTGTTAGAAGCTGGAGCTTCCAACAATTGCAGAGTTTGGTCTATTTTTTAGGCAGTGATGTGGGTAGAAGGAATCACTTCAGGGAGGTGTGCTGCCAGTTCATACGGTGTTCTGGCCTCTGCAGAGCGCTACCCTGCTAGTGGTAGTCATGGGCCCCAGAAGCTGTACATGGAAAAGTTAAATTAAGAACATTTGAACAGGAAAGATTTGGTCTTTTTTTTTAATGCACTCTGTTGACAGGTTCAAGGCTAGCACACTGCAGGAGGTGGGAATACTCTCCATATCTTTGAAGATTCTTTACATTTTGGGAAGTGTGTGTGTGTGTGTGTGTGTGTGTGTGTGTGTATGTGTCTAGCTGTCTAGCTGTTAGCTAGGGTTCCTTGACTGACTTCTGCCTCAGTGCCCCTAAGGCAGCCCAGCAAACAGGTATCTACCACCAGTTTCTCAAAGGCTGGGTATTCTATACCAGCTGTTTGCTAGGGGAGCAGTCCATGTGGAGGACATACAGGCAGTCTGGCAAGTCTGAGAGAGTGACCCCACCCAGTGCGCAGTGTACTGTGAGTCTGAGCAGGACAGGTGTACTCTTGTGAATCAATGCTAGGGACAATTTCATCTGCTGGTTCTTTGTTGGGGTAAAGGACATGGCAGTGGTACCCTGCCTCCCACTGTTTTTAAAAGATGCTGCTGCAGGGAAATCCAAAGGAGACACTGCTTTCCTGATAAAAAGTTCAGTGAGACGATCAAGCCGGGTGAAAAAAGCCTGAGAGTAAATCAGTGGTCCCACATCAATTCCCTTGGCTTACCTCGAGAAGAGAATATCAGTTACACAGAACTAGCTGTGAACTGTCACCTGTATAGGCTGCCTTCCCTATATACTATGTTTTGAGAAAAGAACTCTCCCTAGCTCACTGTCGTTGGGTAGAGTCTAGCTCACAGTAACCTATAGTACAGAGCAGAACTGCCCTATGGGTTTCCTAGGCTGTAACTCTGTATGCGACCAGAAAGCCTCATCTTTCTTCCATGGAGTGGCTGGTAAATTTGAACTGCTGACCTTCAGATTAGCAGTCCATCGTGTAACCCACTATGCTAGCAGGCTTCCATTTGATCAAAGATAAAAGAGGATGTTAAAAAATCACCATGATATTTCATTGCAGAGTTAGACTCAGGATTCTGTTCACAAGCTGACGTTCACTAGAGATCAACTAAGAAGCACCAGACTCAGGTTTTCTTTTCATGTATTTTTCTTTTAAGGAACACTGAATGTTTTGCCCTGAAGAAGAAGGCCTCCGATCATCTGTTGACCAAGTAACACACTTAACTAAGCCAATGACCCACTGTTCTCAATTCTGGCTCACAGTAACCTTATACAGGAATCCCAGGGCTGTAACTCTTTATGGGAACACATAGACTCATCTTTCTCTTGTGGAGTGGCTGCTGGGGTTGAACCAGCAATCTTGTGGTTATCAGTCCAACGCTTAACACCACCACCAGGGCTACCATGGTTCCTTTGGGTAAGCCAACACTCACAACTAATGCTGGGCAGATGTTGTTCCCGGCTTAGTAAACCATAGAAGTGTCTGATTTAAATGGCGATGGCAGGCTATTTCAATCCACTGATGCCTAGCACATCAATATTTATGTGCTCCATTTAATTTTTGACTATATCTAATATTCTTTGCACATTGTACAAAGGGAAATAGAGCTTAGCATAAAATATACATAATAAAGGCTTAAAAATTAGGCCTAAAACTGCTAACTTGCATTAAATAGTAATCAGCTATAAAGATGGGAAAAATGGTTATCTGAACAGTAATTTTAAGGCTACAAGGTGTACATCTTCAATATTATTGAGTGGGGCAGGAATACGCTGAGCTTAGCCCTGAGTATGGAAGCCATCAACAGTCCTTCAGAAAGGAGGGACACCAGGGAAATGAAGAGGTGAGCAGAGGGAGAAGCTCAAGAACCAATGAAATAATCGGACAGTATAAGCTATCCCTTCTGGTAATTTCAAAAGCTGTTTAAAAAACTAGGGGAAAAAAGGTAGTCCTTGTAGTCGAGGTGAATTCTGGGGAAGAGTTTTAGGGAAATTTGTACAGGTGCAGTTTTGAGGGCAAGTGAATGGTTTGAGGAGGAAGGTAGGTTGGATCAATTGAAGTTATTGAGGGTAAATCTGGAAAATAGCAAGAATGAAGAAGTAGAAGTGGGACATAGAGTGAGGGACTCAAGCATTGTGTTGTTCCAATCGATTGGCTGTAGGTATATAGTGCTGCTGCTGTTGTGATTGTTAAGCCTTGTCAAGTTGAATTTTCTACTCATAGTGTGTGACAGGATAGGACTTCTCCATCGGGCTTTCTAGGCTGTAAACTTTACCGGAGCAAATGACCAGGTCTGTCTTCCACAGAGAGGCTTGGTGGGGGAACTTCTAACCTTGACGTTAGCAGCTGAGTGCTTAACCATTGTACCACCAGGCTTCTTTAGGTGATAGATAAAATGCATTTATAGATTAAGATAATATTTAATACTGTAGAGCACTAAAGAAGACAGTGCTGACAAGTATAAAATCCTCAACCCAAGTTTAAAGCAAAAAAGTAAACCAAGCACCCAGTTATTGTTGAGCAGCTTCTAAATGTAAGCTAGCTTTCAGCGTATTGCTGAATTGAGAGGGGGGAATTGAGAGATCTGATCCTTTGGCAGGAATGAAACTCTGTGAGAGAATCTTCTGATGTCATAATTTCTGCGTGTCACTGAGACATTTGATCATCATTCTTTTGGCCATTCCAGTCTTCTATGGAAGGACAGGAGAAGCAGTTGATCTATTCACCTGTCCAGGAATCACACTCGACCAATTTTGGTAAGTCTTTGCATCTTGGTTAAGTTAGTTAATATGTACTGTCTTTATATAGTCATACGAATCCATAAATGTAGTACATTTTTATTAAGCATTACAACCCCCACTAAGTAGTTACGTTTTAGGCATAAGAAAGAGGTACAAGACAGTTTCCTATTCTTCTGGGGCTAAAAGCTGAAAACATGCCAAGTTACTGAAGGTAACTAGTAAGGACCTATTTTGTCCCAGAAACTAGTGAAGGAATTGAAGATTCAATGGTGACAAAGACAAACATGGAATGGGGAGGGAGGAAACAAAAACTTTACATATATTACATATATTTGTAATATAGTACATATAATATCATAATTATATAATATAGTAATGTAGTAATTTCACACATTTGAAATGTAATATAGTAATTTAGTAATTGATAATATAGTAATTATTAATTAGTATAGTAATATAATTACTATATTATTGTAATATAGTAATTTATGTAATATAGCAATTTCACACATTTTAAAGATATTTTTGGATGTTATTTTCAGAACATTTCTGTTTGCCTATAACAAAGGCAGCAACATTAAAAAAGTATAAAGAACAATTTGAAGACAGCCTTCTCACCATTTGATTTTAATTTATGAACCTAGGTCTTCAGTGAATTATGCCTTTTCGGTTTGGGATCCAGGCAAGGAGTTTTCCAATGGAAGGAGGAGATTCTTCAATAGGCCTGGAACTTGGGTTGAGCTCTAGTGCTGCCGCTAATGGGAAAGAGACTTCACCAACCAGGTAAAGCTCTCTGATCTTACAGCTGAGAGAATGTCTCATGTCTTTCTACAGCTTAAGCTTTACTTGATGTTCAATATAGGCAAGGGAAAGAAAAACACTGCTGTTATTAAATCCATATTAAAAGAGACCAGACTTGTGTAGTAGATTCTGTATTTTACAGCTCCGTAAGTCTAGATGATAGAAAAATTCTTTTTTTAAATGATAAAAGATATATATTATTGTAAAACACACACACACATACTTGTAAAAATACTCTGCCACTTGTCTGTTAGTTGTACTGTGTGGCTTATGTGTTGCTGGAAGCTATGTCACTGGGATTTCAAATACCAGAAGAGTCACCCAAAGTGAGCTGGTTCAGCTGAGCTTTCAGACTAAGGACAGACCACAGAGAAGGAATAGACTATCCACATCAGAGGACTTAGCCACCGACACCCTTATGGATAGTACCAAAATACTATCAGATACTGGAAACCTCTCGAGCACTATCCAATCTGTAGGCTGAACAAATAATCAGAGAAACAATTGTAAGAAGAAGGAGGCAGCATCAGGATAGGAGAAAGGCTTATTAACAACTTGTGATATACAGATGACACAACATTGCTTGATGAAAATAAGGGGGAATTGAAGCGTTTGCTGATAAAAATTACAGACTGCAGCCTTCAGAATGTATTACAATTCAATGTAAAGAAAAAATGTTCACGATTGGACAAATACTTAACATCATGATAAATGGAGAACAGATTGAAGTTGTCAAGGATTTTGTTTTGCTGGAATCCACTATCAATGCTCACGGAAGTAGCAATCAAGAGACCAAAGGACGCATTGCCTTGGGTAAATCTGCTGCACGAGAGTTCTTTAAAGTGATGAAAAGCAAAGCTGTGACTTTGAGGACTAAGGTCTGTCTGAACCAAGCCAGGATTTTCTCAATCACCTCATGGCATGTGCAAGTTGGACGCCGAATAAAGACAACAGAAGAAGAATTGACGTGTTTGAATTGTGGTGCTGGCAAAGAATATTGGAAGCACCATGCCCAAAGAGCAAAGAGATCTTTGTTGGAGGAAGCAGAAGAATGTTCCTTGGAGGCAAGGAGGATGAGGCTTCATCTCAATTACTTGGATATGTTGTCTGGAGAGACCAGTCTCTGGAGAAGGACGTCATGCCCAGCGGAGGGGCAATGAAAAAGAGGAAGGCCCTCAGCAAGAGAGACGGACACAGTGGCTGCCCCGGTGGCTTCACACAACAATGTGAGGACAGTGCAGGTGGTGGCAGTGTCCTCTGTTCTGTACTACGAGTCCTCTGTGAGTAGAAAGCAACTCAGTGGCACCCAACAACAGCGTGACATCCTATTGGCCATTTTCACTTTTTAAAGGTATTAATTACATTCACAATGATGCGCAACCTTCACTCTTGTATATTTCCAAAACCTTCTCAGCACCCAAACAGAAACTCTGTACCTATTGAATAATAACTCCCCCTTCTACCCTACCCCTAGTCTCTGGTAATCTCCGATCTTTTTTCTGTCTGGATGGATTTGCCTATTCTATTTCACTTAAGTAGACTGATACACTATTTGCCCTTTGGGATCTAACTTATTTAAATTAGCATAATATTTTTAAGGTTTATGCATGTCAAAGCATATATCAGAACTTCATCTCTCTTGATAGCGGAATACTATTCCGTTGAATATATATGTCATGTTTTGTCTATCTATTCATTTGTTGATGGAGACTTGAATTATTTCTATAGATACTGGTAGCAATTGTGTCTGCTTCAGTTTCTACTATCTTTCTTTTATATGTATGTGCACATATATGTGAAACTGCTATATCATATGATAATTGCATATTTAACATTGTGAGCAACAGACAACTGTTTTCTACAGTGACTGTACCATCAACACATTTTTACAAGACTGGTGATAATATAAAGATTAGCTAATGTTCAATTAAAGAGCCATACCTGATATCTTTCATAAGGCTATAAATATGAAAATGAGTCAGTCTCTAATCTTAGACTTATATCACTTTGATTTGTACTTGACCCTCATCAGAAATAGATATATATATAATGTGAAGATTCCATGAAATTAAATGAGTTTTACAAAATTTTAAACAAACCTATAATAAATAAAATGCATCCTCATTTTCCATATATGTATATTTTTACCATAGAAAAATATTCAATATTTCATTATTTCTTATCTCATTGCTTGGAATTTTTTGGAACACAGATTTAAGTTTAAATAAGCACAAACTTAAACAATCAATTATTCAAGGATTGATTAGGGTATTTTGGGAAGTAGTGAGCTCCTGGTTTTAGAACGTTTAAGGTTGAATAACTATTTGTTGAGAGCCTTGGAAAAGAAATTCAAGCAGACGCTTTTTGGACTACATGTAATGTGAAGGCCTTTCAAAGCTGAGATTCTTTCAACTTTTGACTAGAATGTGGAGTAGTGTGTTCATGTTTATATTTGCCCACAAAGCTCTTACTTTTTAAATCATTGAACTAAAGTTATGTTAAAGTGTATTAAGAACAAATTGTCATTGCATTACCACGATGCATTTTCTCTCTCTTTGCTATTTAGCAATTATTAATCGCAATACTATTGACTTGGCTATAAAGGAGTACCTTTGTATTTATTAGTTTCCTACGATTAAATGTCAAGCAACAGCCATAATTTCTTTGTAACAGAAATCTAAAATGTTTGCTTCATCAGTGTCCCTGTTATAATTACTTCATGATTTCAAAGATGTCAAGACTATTTCAAACAGTCAAATATGCACTCAAACTTTGACACCCAGTTAAAAATACTTCCTTTTGAGTAACTACGTATTATTTTCTCTGTTATCCAGGCAGCTCCGACGATGTCCTGGAAGTCATTGCCTGACAATAACTGATGTTCCCATCAATGTCTATGCAACAATGCGCAAGCCAGCTGCACAGAGCAGCAAGGAAATGCATCCTAATAGCACCGTTAAGTCTTATGTAGGTGTTGACTAGGTCAAGGCTAATGGACCAGTATCAGCTGGTAAACAATAAAAGTGGCGGCAACTTTGGACGATGACAATAGTTGAAATGTTTACTCTTAGTATAAGAAATATAGTCAGTAAAACATGCATAATGAGAAGTCATCAGTTATGTTTGATTAAGAAGACAGAATATGTCATAATTAGAAAGTGCTTTAGAGATAATCTAGCCCATGGTGAATCATTAATAATAACAATTCAGGTGAAACTTTAAAAAAATCATTTTATTGGGGCTCATACAACTCTTTATCATAATCCACACATACATCAATTGTGTGAAGCACACTTACACATTCGTTGCCCTCATCATTCTCAAAACTCTCGCTTTCTGCTTGGCAAGGTGAAACTTAATCCACCTTGGTTATTGATCAGGTGGGCCTTCTTCTAAATGCTTAATGTATTTTAGATTGATTTCCTTTGTTTATATTATACCTCTACTTAGCAGAATCCTATCTCTAAAATATTCCATGACAGTTTCTGATACTTACACAGATACTAAATTCTGATTCTGATACTAATCTGTCCAGGAAAAATTATGATGGTGGAGAAAAGAGACTGTTAGTTTTGTCCTTGGTCAATCTGCAAAGCCTTTAACCTGCTTGCATATACAAGTTTGCTTATTGGCTGAATTCATTTAATGAGATCAAGGGTATGTTTCTAACCTCTAATTACCCAGGAAAAACAATGTTTTATTTTAACACTGCACCCCAACTCTTTAGCTCAGTGGTTCTCAACCTTACGAATGCCGTGACCCTTTAATACAGTTCCTCATGTTGTGGTGACCCCCATCCATAAAATTATTTTTGTTGTTACTTCATAAGTGTAATTTTGCTACTGTTATGAATCGGGCAACCCCTGTGAAAGGGTCATTCGACCCCCACAGCTTGAGAACCACTGCTTTAGCTCCTCATTTTGAAGTTGTCAACAATGGGTATTGAAAAAACAATGAGTATTTAAAAAAACATAAAAACAAAAACCTAAAATAACCTCACTGCCATCAAGTTGATTCTGACCCACTACTGACCCTATAGAACAAAATAGGACTGCCCCCATTGAGTTTCCCAGGTGGTAAATCTTTAAGGGAGCTGAAAGCTGCATAGTTCTCCCTCAGAGCACCTGGGGGGCTCAAACTTGCTGATCTTGCAGTTTACAGCTCAGCAGGTAACCCACTATACCATGAGTTCCTGTGAGAAATCTCAGGTGTATTTCCTTATTTGTTAGACGTGGGATCACCTTTGAGGTCTAGGTCAGCTCTCTAGTCTCATTTTTTCTTGCAGTAGTCCCCAGAAACTTAGCCTGTTGCTTTCTCCTCCTGTTAAGTGCCACCATCCATCTCCCCAAGTGATCTTTTCCAAGTAACTGACTCTAGAGTCAGATAAAACCCTTACGGTTCCTTGTCTTTCTTTGATAATGTACATTATAAGCACGTTTTTTTAAAAAAATATAGTTAATAACTGTATGGGCATAGATGTATGAAGACACAAACAACAAATATAGAGAAGTCAAAAGATTCAACATCTTAGTGGAAATAGTAAACTAGAGATAGATATAAAGCAAATCTATACCAATTTTAGAAAAGCTTTAAAAATAACCCTTAAGGGAATCAAAGTAATCTCTAGGTAATTTAGCTGCCTGCAAAATAATAATGTAGGACTCCTTAAAGGAAGACAGAGTATAAAGGTCTTTTAACACACGGTGCTCCGTGTTTAGCACAGTGGTGTCCTCAGCAAGATGTTACTTCATTGTAGTTGAGTGGTGAGTAATGGAATGACCTTAGACTGAGGGCTGCCCTGGACATTGCCAAATAAGGCTAATAGCAAGACTTGAAATAATCAAAATGATTGCAGATGTAATGAATAACATACAATTAAAAACTACCAGGTATGCAAAGCAGAAGGAATATCTGTAATTAAGAGAATCATCAGTCAATACAAACAGATCCAGGAATAACAGACGACAGTCTTAGTAGACAAGTTACTATAATCATAATCAAGAAGGGATTAAGAGCTAGACATTATGAGACAAAAAGATAAGCTTGAAGAAATAATAAGGTTATTCAAAATGAAACACTAAAATATTGGAAAGAACACAGATAAAACCTGTGTTCCAGTATCATTCAATCTCACATTTATGTAAATGTCTTCCAGAAAGGTACAGAAACACATTTGAAGAAATAATGAAAATAAATTTCTGTAAATTGAAAGATCCAGGAAACTATACTAACATCAAAGGGAAGAAATGTGAAGAAAACAATAAGCATGTCAAAATTAAATTGTCTGAAAACCAGAGATAAAGAGAAAAATCTTAAAAGCTGATAAAAACAAAAACAAAGTACCACATTTACCCAGAGGAACAAAAATTAGAATGATAACACACATAAGAAATGAAGTCAAGAAGGCAATGGACTATTACCTATATCTTTTCAAAATGAAGATAAATAACAGAATTGCAGGTGAATGAATATATTGGATGGTGTAAGATAATAATAATATATAATATATAATAATTAAATAATCTATTTAAGTATTTAATTTAATAATTAGATTTATTTAATTATATAATTATATATTATATAATATGTATAAATAATTATTAAATAATAATATATAATAATAAGGGTTCCTGGGGCAGTAGGGTAGGTGAGAGAGGGGAAAAGGTGGAGCTGCTATCAAAGAGCTCAAGAAGAAAGAAAATGTTTTAAAAGTAATGGTGACGGGGAGGAGGAGAGACTGGAGCACATCCTGACCCACTAGGCCAAATAGAGCAGCCAGTCCACAGAGAGGACCACGTGGCCAACCCCACTATGAGA